TTCAAACACAAGACCCAAGCAAGTCTCCTACACGTTCATGTGGCCATTAATAGAGCTTTTCAAAAATATTCCTGTTTTGTTGCTGTTGTTATTCTTAAGGTTTTAGGGTTGTTTTTGTAGCATAATCTAACTGATCCAGACACATATGTGTTTCTGTGCATAAATATATGTATGTATATATAAATATATACACTATTTTTGTATGTATGTATATTATACATATTAGTGTGTGCATGTGTATACACTACTTACTATCAGCTAGTAAATTTTTTTACTAAACTTTTTTAATTAATTTTTTTTCTTACTATCCACTGAATCTAAACTATCCTTTTTGCCTGATCATTATTTACCTCTGCTTAGACACAAATACCACCACAAGGATCAGACTCTCCCAACTGGCAAGAGCAAGAACATGTGTCTACACAGATCTCTAATCAACTAACATACATCACACATTTAGCGCATCTTAGGGCTCACCACAGCCTTTTAGAACTCAAAGGCAGTTATAGTTTTTGTGCTTATTTGCATTTCTTTTGCATCCTCCACATAGTATGTTCTTAAGATTCATGTGAATTCCAGTGGTGTTGGGAAAATTGGACAGCCACATGCAGAAGAATGAAACTGGACCACTTCCTTATATCATACACAAAAATAGACTCAAAATGGATGAAAGACCTAAATGTGAGACAAGAATCCATCAAATCCTAGAGGAGAACACAGGCAGCAACCTCTCTGACCTTGGCCACAGCAACTTCTTGCTAGACATATTTCCAAAGGCAAGGGAAACAAAGGCAAAAGTGAACTATTGGGACTTCACCAAGATAAAAAGGTTTTGCACAGCAAAGGAAACAGTCGATAAAACCAAAAGATAACTGACAGAATGGGAGAAGATATTTGCAAATATCTTATCAGATAAAGGGCTAGTATCCAAAATCTATAAAGAACTTACCAACTCAACACCTAAAGAACAAATGATCCAATCAAAAAATGGGCAGAAGACATGAACAGACATTTGTGCAAAGAAGACATACAAATGGCCAACAGACATATGAAAAAGTGCTCAACATGACTCAGCATCAGGGAAATACAAATGAAAACCACAATGAGATATGACCTCACACCAGTCAGAATGGCTAAGATTAACAAGTCAGGAAAGGACAGATGTTGGCGAGGATGCAGAGAAAGAGGAAATGTCTCACACTGTTGGTGGGAATGAAAGCTGGTATAGCCACTCTGGAAAATAGTATGGAGGTTCCTCAGAAAGTTGAAAATAGAGCCACCCTATGACCCAGCAGTTGTACTACTAGGGATTTACCCCAAAGATACAAATATAGTGATCCGAAGGGGCACCTGCACCCCAATGTTTATAGCAGCAATGTCCACAATAGCCAAATTATGGAAAGAGTCCAGATGTCCATTGACAGATGAATGGGTAAAGAAGATGTGGCATATATTTACAATGGAATACTACTCAGCCATCAAAAAAGTGAAATCTTGTCATTTGCAATGACGTGAATGGAACTAGAGGGTATTACGCTAAGCGAAATAAGTCAATCAGAGAAAGAATTATCATATGATCTCACTCATATGTGGAATTTAAAAAACAAAACAGAGGATCATAAGGGAAGGGAGGGAAAAACAAAACAAGATGAAATCAGAGAGGGAGACAAAGCATAAGACACTTGTAATCATGGGAAACAAACTGAGGGTTGCTGGAGGGCAGGGCAGTGGGGGGATCGGGTAACTGGGTGATAGACATTAAGGAGGGCACGTGATATAAGGAGCACTGGGTATACAACAATATATATACATATATACATTGTGTGTGTGTGTATATATATACATACACAATATATATACAACTGATGAATCACTGAACTCTACCTCTGAAACTAATAATACACTACATGTTAACTAAATAAATTTAAATACAAAAATAAATTTAAAAAAATTTTAAAAAGATGGAACAACAACAACAAAAAAGATTCATGTGAATTCCATTCCCTGATTTCTCTTCCTTTTCCCTCCTGGTCTTAAGACATTAGGAGAGCAGTCAATCAGTACATTCAAATTCACTTGTACAGTTAATTCTTAATTATCGAGCATGAGAAGAGGTATGGATTACCCCATACACAGTGGAATATTATTCAGCCTTAAAGAAAGAGGGAAATTCTACCATTTGCGACCACATGAATGGACCTGGAGGACATTATGCTAAGTGACATAAGCCAGACAGAGAAAAACAAATACTGCAATCTAACTTTTATGTGGAATCTAAGAAACTCATAGAATTGTGGTTGCCAGGGGCTGGAGGGGAGGGTGAGAGCGACTGTGCATATAAGGGCAAAATCCTGGGAATTGGCAGAGCAACAAGATACAAGGAGTTTGGGGCCCTGACCAGCTGGAGAGGAGCCACCATACCAGCTCCAACTTCTATGTGACAGAGAAATGAATTTTTATCTAGTGTAACCATTATTACTTTGGGTCTCCATTATAAGCATCTGATTCTGTCCTAACTAAGAGGTCTTGAAAGTGACGTGGGAGAAGTTTCCCTGGGGGATAAATATCCTCCACAAGATGTAAAGACTCATAGTTTTAAGAGAATCAATTTCTGGATGCTCAGAATGTCCTAACAATGATGATGATGATGATAATATTTACTCAAATTTAGCAATTAACTATGTTCCAGCACTCAATACTAATTCATTTAACATATCTTAACTCATACATATTCTTTCCTAAAATAAATCTGTCTTAGAACATGCTGTGGTTAAAGCTGGTTCCCTCTCTCACTCGCCTCCCACAAATGCCCTTCTCCTGCTTTAAGGAAGAGATGCAACTGTCCATTTCAAATCTTATAATGAGACCTTGTCCTTGAGCTGTGTTTTGCAACCTTTTTCTCATCATGGTCTCTTAAGGAGACTTCTAGACATTTTTTCCCCAATCATTCCCATCATAAAATTTTAATTCCACAGATGTATTCCATATATCTGTTCATGTACTATATGCATATCTGTACTTTGTACATAAAAAGAGTAAGACTTTTTATCCCTCAGGAACCAATTTTTGCCCACATCAAGAAGGCATGTCCTAGAATATAAAAACCTGTAGGCCACCAAGGGACTATTTGAAATACTGGTGTTCATGTGAGAAATTAAATGACTCTGATTTCACACTGATTCTTTTGCAACTCATATAATTTCGGAATCTTTGCTTCAAAAAATTCAAGAATGTAACAAGTTGTCAGCTGATAAAGAGTTCAAAGGATTGAATGACATTGCCATAACAAAACCCCTTCCATTTCTATATAATTATTCATATGAATAAGATTTATCAGGACTTTCGCATATAAAAATGGAATACATTAATATAATGGGACTGAATGCTGGCTCATTCTAAGGTTAAGTATTGTCTATCAACAGAAATGATTAGAATAACTCCTATTCATTTAGAGCTGCACTTCCAATAAAATTCACTTTTTTATATTTAATGATTTGTAATATATTTATGTTGGTTTTACCAAAATTACAGTGATAACTAAATTCATAAGATATCTTTCAACTCTTAAGATCCTTCTGGTCATAGGAAATTATAAAGAGCACATTAAATGCTAGACTTGACATACATCCATATATCTACATCTAAACATATCTCTATAGGTGTACTTATATATAGTAGAGAAAGAAAGTATGATGGAATGGTCAATAAAAGACTATAAGAATAAAAATATAATAGGATAAAATTGTATGGAGGAAGTCAGATGGAAGTATGAGTCCAAAAGGAAAATGAATTGCTATAAAATTTCTGACTGTTAAGGAAGGACTTGTTCATATATAGTTTATATAAATGAATGGATGATGCTGAATACCAAATTGTAATACCTTCTAGATTTCCTTTAGTACATTTAAAGAGTCATGTAACAGTTCAGTTAAAAATGTCAAAATATACAGTATGCCAGAAAGTACATACTTTGCAATGATTTGAACTCATGATGAAAAATGTTAGATGTCTACTTAGAAATGAGTGAGGTTTCCTGAGATTAAGAATTCCTCAAATCAGTGAGATCCTAAGATACATGTCTTTTTCTGATTGACTTAGGGAAAAATGAAGCGGGGGGAATCGGAGGGGGAGACGAACCATGAGAGACCATGGACTCTGAGAAACAAACTGAGGGTTCTAGAGGGGAGGTGGGTGGGGGGATGGGTTAGCCTGGTGATGGGTATTAAGGAGGGTATGTACTGCATGGAGCACTGGGTGTTATATGCAAACAATGAATCATGGAACACTACATCAAAAACTAAGGATGTATGGTGATTAACATGACGTAATAAAATTAAAAAAATGAAAAGAAAAGAAATGAGTGAGGTTGCTTTAAAGTTTATTTTGAGGGATGCCAAGCAAAACAATTGAGGATTACAACCTGTTACATACGGTTTGAGTCTGACCAGCAAGCCACTAAGAGAGGAGCAGAGGTTGTCCCCATCCCAATTCTGGTTGCTCATTCTAGCAACTGAGAATGAGCCTGAGCTTACACAATGGGCAGGAAATGGTCCTCTGCATGAGGGGTTCAAAGGAGCAGAGTCTGGGAGTCAGGTTACTGCTGGCTGTGTGGCTTCCTCCTTCCTTGCTGCCTGGCGTCAAGTGGTGAACAGTAGCCCAAAGCTACAGACTCCAGCCTTCTCCATGCTCTGAAGCCCTCTCCTCCACCAAAGGCCTCCAGCTGCCAGGTGGCTGCCTATCACTAAATTCCCTGCGACTCCCTTGCCCCACTCCAACTGTTTTCAGCTCTTACTACACTGACCTCTTTCTCCAAAAATGTGGTCCACCTGTCTAGAATCACCTGGAATGCCCATCAAAGTGCAGGGATTTTGGTCTCACAACAGACCTATTGTATTGGCATCTCTGCAGGTGTGACCTGGGATTCCACATGATTAACTCTTCAGTGTAAGATTTACTTCTTTGCCTCAGTTCCTTTTGTCCAGCAAATGATGGTAAGTTTCTTTGCTTAGGACAGGAATTTGAGGTTGAGAGTTTGGACTTAAAACACTAGCAAATGGAGACATGGATCCAAATGAATTTCAGCCTGCTTTATTCTTGGACGACTAGCAGATATTGGGGACTTCTTGGCTTTAACCTGAAAGAGCAGGAAGAAAAGAATAATGTTCAGAGCAACATAAAATGCATTTTCAAAAAAAAAAAAAGAAAAAAGAAAAAAAAGGAACAGGAAAATCACAAAGCAAGCTGTCTTCTAATCTGATTCTTAGGACCATGACATTGGACCAATGTGTAATACTGACAAAAGAGCAGATGGTTTCCAGCACTGTACCTAACGCAGAGTTGGATGCCATCCCAGTCCTGGGGGTTGAATCAGAGTTTGAACTAGACCAACGCAATTATAAGCAGAGGCCAAGAATGGGTGCTCTGTTCAGGGGAAGCTTAGGAAGGAACCGGGTGCTTTGGGGTTTGTATTTAGCAGAGTCAGATTCAAAGCCAGCTGATTCTGGGAGGGAGCCTGAAAGAAAGGCCCCATGAAGAACAGAGCTGGGCAGATGGATCCCTTTGATGGCACTGAAAGGGGTTTACCTCAAGAGTCTGGTAAAATGGAGCAGGGCAAACTCAGGATCTTTCTCCAATTTTCTACTTTTAAAATCCAGCAACTGTCTCTGAGTTAGAATGTTCAAATTCTCTGATCAGCTACTTAGGCCACGTTTGAAATGCAAGCCACGACCCTTGATTTTTCCTAAGTTTACTACCTGGTGCCTTGTGGCATGGGCCATCAGAGCGATGTTTTCAATTATTTAAAATATTCAGGCAATGCAAAAATGTTTGCTTTGTGCCAGACCCAACAAGCTTGGCTTACTTCTTGTAGCACAGAAGACTCACCTCTTTGTGCTATTAAGAAGGGAAAAATCAATCCCAGTAGGAGCCCTACAAGAATGGGACAAAAACTGGAGGAATTTAAAAAAGTTTTTTTGTTGAGTAGTTCCAGCTTTGGGGAGGGTGGAATTCTCAGAAACAACTATTGTCTGGACTACAGAGGAGTTTTAAACTTTTTTGGAGCATTATCATTGCTTCTTTGATTTCACAACACTCTCTTCTCTATTACCACCTTGTTTTTATAATAATTTGGTGAATTAAAATAGTTTATTTTGGGAAATCAGGGAAGAATTTCGTGATGCTTCTGGGGGTGAAATGGAAACCCTTGTGGTCAATAGAACCAGGACTGAGAATTGCTACTCTTCAGCTGGAAGTATCTGAGAGTGGTCTCTAAGGGTTCTGAGAGTCTTCAGCCTTGGACCTTTGTAAGGTAATACTTTGGTTTCTAGCACACATAAACAATTTGTTTCCAGTCTTTTTTTTTTTGGTATATCACTTGCACAGGCAACATTTTTTCCATTTATTATATTGACTTAAGATTGTTTTAACCCACCAAAGCAAATGGGTAGACACAGATATCTGCTGCAATGTTTTATTTTTCTTGTTTGTTATTCATGTCATTCCCTTACTCGCTTTAAGAACACTCATTGTTTTCCTCCTATTTGTCCTTGTCAGTCTGAATCACTTTTGCCTTGTTAGATCATGCATTCATTTATTCAGTTGATAGATACGTATGGAGCACTATCACGTTCTCAGAAATGGACGAAGCTGAGGATAGAGGCAAATGTGTTTCCTACACTCCAGAAGCTCCCATTCCACCGGAGTTCTCACCATGTTTCTCTCAGGACCTCTATATAGACCTCCAGTGAGATGACATTCTCCTGCTTCTCTGTCACCGAGGCCTGGTGGGGGCACTTCTTGGCCTCTACTTTTCTATTCTGGCTATTTTTCCAAGGACCAGAGGCAATGCCCTTTGGCCCTTTCCTTTCTCCACCAGGGGAGAGGCTAGAGGCTTCTTCACAGGCTTTTTTACCTGACTCACAGGGGGGCCACGGAAGAAGAGTTCTCCTGGAATGCTTGGAAGCTGATGAAGTACGCTACATAAACAAAAGAGATCATAGTTACCTACCTGGGGGAGATGGAGGTGTCTTGACTACAGCCGAGTAGATATATCTGTCCTTGGGTGTTTCGCTGCAATCCTGGGGATTATTGAACAAATCTCCCTTCGTGAGAGCAGCTGTAAATCAAAGAACGTAAGGCCTTCATGACACAAGAGCGATAACTCTGCATTACCAAATGGATTTGAAAACATCCAGGCTCAACTCGCAATGTGAGGAGCTCCAGCCAGTCAGCCTGGTGCCACATGTTTGTGGGTCTGCTGGCTTCAGAGTCCTCACCCTCAGCTCAGCTCTCCTCTCCTAGCCTAGAGGGAAGGGACTCACTTGGCCGACTTGATGAATGTCTTTCCTTTTTCAGGTGTGGAGAGTTGAGTCTATTATAATGTTCAGCTCATTGCACACTTTAATCATTGTCGGTACATGGCCCCTTTTGTTTGTTTGGTGTTTGTTTTCTCCTTCTATCCTCATTCTCTACTCCCACTCCTCTTCCTCTGTACGTATTTGTTCTTACAAACTGTATCATGCTTGGTCTGCATGTGTTTTCCTCAGCTTTTAATTATAACCACATTCAAACCTAGTGGGAAGTTGAGTGGCCATGAATTTGCCTATACCTGCCACCTAGAATCAAACATTTCCTACCATTTTGCTGTTTAACTCCATATAAGTGTTGAAAGTAAGTTGTAGATATTGTAAGCCACCCCTTCTTCTAAAAATAAGGCCATTCTCCTACAGAAAGAAAAGATGATTTCACACCTTATTAATTATATAATTTATTTTTAAAATTTTATTTTATTATGTTAATCACCATACATTACATCATTAGTTTTTGATGTAGTGTTCCATGATTCGTTGTTTGTGTATAACACCCAGTGTTCCATGCAGTACGTGCCCTCTTTGATACCCATCACCAGGCTAACCCATCCCCCCACGCCCCTCCCCTCTAGAACCCTCAGTTTGTTTCTCAGAGTCCATAGTCTCTCCTGGTTCGTCTCTCCCTCCGATTTCCCCCCCTTCATTTAATCTAATATCCAGTCTATCTTCAAATTTCCCTAATTACTAAAAATGTTTATAGTTTTTTTAAAATCAGAATTTGATCAATGTTTACACATGGTATCTGATTAAATCTTTTTCACCTCTTCTACTCTAGAATGGCCCCCCTCTTTTAAAAATAACATGGACTTTTTGAAGAGATGTGCTCATTTGTCTTGCAGAATATCCTCCATTCTGGATTTGTCTGATAGTTTTCTCAACGTGTTTTATTTGTTCCTTTATGCTTTGTATTTCTTGTCAATGAGAAGTTGGATCTAAAGACTTGATTAGCTTCAGGCTGAAGTTCTGGCAAGCAAACTTCATGGGTGATTTTGTGTGCTTAGTATCACATCCTGTCAGAGGCTCATAATTTCAAAACAGTCAGTTATCTGACTATAATGTTAAATTTGATCTTTTGGTTAAAGTGATGACTACCAGATCTTTGCATTGTAAAAAGTACAGTTTACGCTTTGCAAATTAACAAGAAATATGTGGGGATGATACTTCTGTGCACTTGCACATCCTGGTCTCCAATAACCTCTCCCTTAATAACGTTAGCATCCATCAGTGATTCTTGTTGGAATAAATTATCTTATTGGCAATTGTATAATTGTGATATTCTACTGCCATGATCCTTGCTACACTTATTAGCTGGAATTATTCTATAAAGCAGAGCTTTTCTTCATTGACTGTGGATAAACTCATGTCTACTACTTCATAAAAAGTTAGAATAAGATACTCAATTATTTCCCTGTAACAACCAGCTCTTGGAGTAATGGGTTAATGTAATAGGCACCTCCAAAGATGAAAAACAAGATTTTTCCTCTTTCTCTTTTTATTTTACTTCATAATTTGAATGTCCTATATATACCTATACCACATAAACCTATGGGTATTATTTATTCAAGATTTTATAACCAATTATAATTATTTTTCTTTTTACTTCTCAAATTTATGTTTTCTGCCAGGACCTTGATTAATAGACAATATATCCTGGACACCACTCTATATCACTACACAGAGGTCATCTTCATTCTTTTATATCATTGCATAGTACTCCATTATATGGATAGACCATAGTTGACTCACTCTTTGTGGATCAACTTTGACATCTCATCCCTCCACCCCAGGAGTCAGTATGATGAGAATCACTTGCTTTATTTGTTTTCTAGTGGGTGATGTTGAGCAATGAGGGTCACTTAACCTCTCTGTGCTTCAGGTTTCTCATCTATAAAATGGGGATAATAATGGTACCGACCAATAGCGTTGTTGTGGAGATTTAATGAGTTAATATATGTAAAACTCTCAGAATAGTGCCTAATATATATTAAGTACTCAGTAACTCTTAGCTATTATAATAATAGCAATTATGATAATATAATTGTCAATTATTATGACTATTATAACCTTCACGTATTCTTATCTGCTTGCTATCAGCCCTGGGCAGTATAAAGATGAGCAAAAACCTTTTTTTTTTTTAAAGATTTTATTTTTTTAATTTATTTGGCACAGAGAGAGACAGTGAGAGAGGGAACACAAGCAGGGGGAATGGGAGAGGGAGAAGCAGGCTCCTCGCTGAGCAAGGAGCCCAATGCGGGACTCGATCCCAGGACCCTGGGATCATGAGCTGAGCTGAAGGCAGACGCTCAATGACTGAGCCACCCAGGCACCCCATGATGAGCAGAAACTTTTAAGGGGGGCAGTGTGGTTTAAAGAAAAGAGCACTGGGCTTGGAGCCCTGAGATCTGGATTCTAGTCCCTGATTTACTTCTAACCACTTGGGTAATCCTGGAGGAGCCATGAAACTCTCCTGATGTTATCTGTATAAAGAGGGAGCTGGAGAGAGGAGCTTAATTCTCTCCCTGCTCTCTGGTCTGTGTACTTTACTGGATGACTTGTTTCACACTGGCCAGAGGACAGGAAAATCTTCTGCTCTGAAAACTGGGACACCCTCATCTGTCATTTGAATTGACAAGCCCTTGGCTTTCTTCCATTCTGTGGCCTTGTGATGCACCAGAATTAGAATAAAGATTGTTCAAGATCTTTAGTCCTGGGAGGAAAGGAGGGAAGGGGAAAGAGAGGGGAAGAGGGGAGGAGAAGGAGGTAAAGGAGGGGAAGAAGGAGGAGGAGGAGAAAGGAGGGGGAGGAGGAGAAGGAGGAGAAATTTATCTCCTTCTCTTCAGTTTCTTGGCTGTAGAAGAAATGTAGAAACGGGAAATTTTTTTTTTTTTCTGCAAATTGGTGCCATGCCTCTCTGTACACAATATGGACATCTCCGAGTAAAGTTACTATTCAAAAAAAAACCAAAAACCAGTAAAGTCCTGAGCTTCTTATCTCTAAAAAGGTGCTTTTTGGAAAATGAACACTTGAGATTTCCTTAACGTGCCCCCTGAACATTCCAATCTGTTGGCTGTCCAGTCCCAGCAGTAATAGCAAGGTTTGGGTTAAACTTCTGAACTGCAAGGAGTGTCTCAAGGCAGTCACTTTTGTGGTGTGCAGAGCAGTGTGTGACCTCGACCTCTGAAAGCCCAGGCACAGAATTAATGAGAGGTTTCATGGGCCCCTAACAGAACATCTTACCAAGAATGTATTACTCTTGTTTTTGTATGTTCTCTTGAAACCCTTCAAATTGATGGTCAGATTGAAAACTTCAAAATTTCCTTTAAAAACCTCTGCCTGGGGTGTGTACACTTCTCTCTATGTGTGTTATACTTCAAAGAAAATGTTAGAAAGGAAGAAAGAAAAACAAAAACTCTGCTTAAGTCTTACTTTCTCTAGGATAAAGCTAACATACCCATCATTCTTTACCTTTAGCATTTCCCCACTCAGCACTTTACAAAGCCTTTACTTGGCCTCTGGAATTGACAAACTGTAGTGTAGTGCCGAGAGCTCTCAGTTCAGGGTCAGCATCCCTGTCTCCAGAACTGCTTCTTGATTCTTTCACACAGGAGTTGCCCATTGTCGGGCAAGACCCTGGACCTTGTTACGGCTCCATTCTCTTAGCTACAAGACAGGTGTAATGTGGTTAGTAATGAAATGTGTTGTCATGAAGATTAAATATGATAAGGGATATAAAAATGCTTCATTAACTATAGAAAATGGTAAAAAAATTTACAATTAAGGTTTATATCTTCCTATTATATTTTTCTGGTCTGTCATGTTATCATCTGGCTTCCTGGGGTCCACCCTCGGCTGCCCACGCTTCGTTTTCCACCCAGCAGCCAGAGGGATCCTGTGAATACACCGTATCTCTCCTGGGCTCCAGTGGTCCTGTTTCTCTCTCAGCCCTCTCAACTCCTCACTCCCTCTCTGACTTCAATTCCTACTCTTGCCTCTCTTGCTCATTGTCTCCCAACACACTGGGTTTCCTGTGAGTCTCCAGACCTCCAATTCGGTCCTGCTTCTGAACCTTTGCAATTTACTCTCCCAGGAATGCTTTTCTCCCAGACATCCATGGGGCAAACTTTTTCACTTCCTTCAAGTCTTTGCTTTTCAGTGAGGTCTTTTTGGCCATTGTGCTGTAGTTGCAACCCCAACCCTCTCTAGCCCTCCTTCCTGCTTTATATTTTTCCATCACCTGTAAGCCTCTAATACACTGTGTAAGTGACTTCTTTATTTTGATTATTTTTTGTCTTTCCCTACAAGACCTAAGCTCTACAAGAGCAAGAATTTGTGTCTGTTTTATTAACTGATGGATCCCTAACACCTAGAGCACAGCTTGACACATAGTAGGCCTTCAATAAATAGCTGTCTTATGAATGAATGGAGACTGTTTCAGGCTCACTATTGGACAAAGGATGGAACTGACATTTCGTGATACTTTTCCAGACATCGCTAGTGAAAATGAGCCTTATTGGAAACTCTGTGTAGATTCCGTATCGTCCCCCCAGGATCTTGACCACCTGGAAGATATTTGTATAATCTCTGCATGCTCTAAAATCAAGAATGCTGTTTCTATTCCAAAGACCTGTGGAGTGGCAGTAAACGCAGTGGAGATGTTCTTTGGAGAAATAGAACCTGGACCATACAAGGCAAATTTGACCCGATGCACTGATCTACTATATGTTATTGTTTCCCCACCTGGGTTTGTAGTATTTTCTTTAGCAGCATGTCATTTGGTCTTGCAGTATCTTAAAAGGTAGAATGATGAGCACATAGCTTTCCCCAAACTGTGTGCCAGGGCACACGAGTTCTAGGAAATGCTTACCTGTGCTTAAAAAAGAATAAGGGCCCCATAGTTCTGGTTCACCATATGTATTTGCATCTTAAAGGCTCTGGGGAGTCACATAGCTTATTATAAATAAAGGATGAGTGGCCTGCTTAATAGTTCTTAATTTATTAGACTAGGGAAAAACTTTTTCACTGTATGCCTATTAATACCCTACCCCACTCCCAGAGAATATACATGAGTACTAACATTTATGGAGTTTTACTTAATATTTTGTTAAAAGGCCAGGCACTAAAATAACATGTATGCACCAAGTCCATGCATCATGCCAGATTATTTTTGAAATCTACACAATATTGAATTCTGCTCCAGTATATTCATTTATTTGAAATAACAGAGTAATATTAAAAGACACTACCTATTTTGTGGCCATGATCCAGACCTTTCCAACTTTCATTTCCCACTGATCTCATGACATCTTGTATATGTTTTATTTGGCCACTGAGTGCTGTTCAGTACTCTGCAAGCTTACCTAAGGAAGGAAATCCATGTGTGGAGTATCCATTATGTTAATAATATATTCTCTGTGGGACTGCAGTTCTTTTTTGATTTTTATCAGTGAAGAACTTATGAAGCACTGTTCCTTACTTTATGCCAGGAATTCCATTAGACACAATGAAGATACCAGGGGAACAAGATGTGACAAGATCATGGAGTTTGCATTCTGGCGTAGCTAGGCAAAGACAACACGTAAACGAACCCAATAATCAAAGGTTGAGCCAACGGTTTTAAAGGAAGAGAGGAGGAGCTGAGGCAGAATAAGGTGTATGTGAGGGTGTTTCCTATTCGAGATGAGGTGACCAGGAGAGAAGGATGCTCTGAGGTAAGGACATTTAAATTGAGGTATAAAGATGATAAGGAGCTGGCCATGACAAGAAGGGGAAGAAGAACATTTGTTTTAGGCTGAGGGAATGGCATGACTAATGGCTCAGCCACAGGAAGCAACTTGCTAAGAATTGAAAGAAGGTCACATGGTTGGACCATAGTGTTCATGAGAGTCACGAGGTGGGGGGAAGGGTGGCATTCAATGGGTATGGGCAAATCACTCGGCTTTTGAGGTCATGGATTAGACTTCGAGAGAGCGATATGCTTGAATTTATGTTTCAAGGAAACATGAAGCAGAATATACACCAATGTACTAAAATTTTTGTTAAGCGAACAGTGGACATTTTAGAGTGCTTTTAACTATCTAAAAAATACAGATCATATATTTCTCCTTCTCTCTATTCCAAACATACAATATCCTCCAATCCTATGTGAACCACTGGGTCTTGGTGAAATGTTGTTATTCTACTCCGTGTTTTATATGTGAGTCCCCACACCTAGGCTCTCTCTGACACTCTACTTTGAAGAACACTGACAGCCTGGGGCACACGTGAGGATTTTGAGGTCAAAGTCTACCTTCTACAGTCCTGGAGCTTGTTTTGGGGGTTTACCCCAAAATCTCCCAACATCATGGCCTTTCCTTCTTCCAAGCCCCCAAATCTTCCTCTGATTTCCATTCCACCCGTTCTTGAGCCTAATTCACACAGAAATCCCTGTTAAAGTGTTAATAGGTAATGATCATGTCTCTTTTTTTTTTAATTTTTAATTTTTATTTATTTTTTAAGATTTTATTTATTTGCGAGAGAGAGAATGAGAGAGAGCAAGCACATGAGAGGGAGGAGGGTCAGAGGGAGAAGCAGACTCCCCGCTGAGCAGGGAGCCCGATGCGGGACTTGATCCCGGGACTCCAGGATCATGACCTGAGCCGAAGGCAGTCGCTTAACCAACTGAGCCACCCAGGCGCCCGGTAATGATCGTGTTAAATAAAGTGCGTTGAAGTGTGATCCTGACCAAAAGCATTTTCATTTTGAAGACAATTCTTTAAGGCAGTCTTGGCATCTAAGGCGTAGGGAGAAGAGCCATAGGGTGAGTAGGTGGGGCAAGAGGAACTCCTGCTCTGGGTGCTTTTAGAGGGTTCCCCATATTAGAAGCACGTATGCAAAATAAACTTATTAAGTCATACATGGGTATCTGTCCCTTAGGATTCTGTGCTCAGTGTTGGCACAGTATGATCCATACCTCTAAACATCCACTCTTGTGACTGACACCATTCAGGCCCCAGGGAAATGCTTTTCGCATCTCTCACCTTGTGTTCCTGAAACATCGGCGGCTAGGTCTAAAGATTTGTGGGTTATTTTACTACTGAAGTCAGAGATAGACACTACTTTGATATGTAGGAGGGATCTGAGCAGTGAAAGAACTGAGGTATGACAAAATAAATGATCAGTTTTTCAAATCTCTCCTCTCAGAAAGCATGAATTCAAGAGATGCATCATTTTCCAATAGTGCTGAACATCCATTTTCTTGCTCTTCTTCATGCTTCAATGAGTAGTTCTGACGGTACTCATGAATTAGCATAATACCTTTAACACTTGCAAATGGCAGTTCATCAAATAATTCATGCAACTCTGAAAGTCATATTTATGTCAGTACAGATGTAACGTGCATGAAGTATGATGGTGATCCTTTTTGTTGGCTACTAGATGAACCCTGAACTCTGGAAAAGCAAAGCTTTGTTTTTATAAAAAATGTTGAAGAAAAATGTATCAAATTCTCACAAATGAAATTTAGAATTTCAGCTTTCTTTGAATAATTTGAATTTCACATGTTGATATTTCAATTATAATTTATATTTTGCCTTTTAATTTTAATAGACAATTCTGAGTACTTCAGAAGAAAACTGACTTCTTTGGAGAACTTATAAAATAGTTTTTTACTTTTTTTTTTAAAGATTTTATTTATTTGAGAGAGACAGAAAGAGCCTGAGTGGGGGAGGGGCAGAGAGGGAGAAGCCAACTCCCCACTGAGCAGGGAGCCCAATTTAGGGCTGCAGCCCAGGACCCCAGGACCATGACCTGAGCCAAAGGCAGACGCTTAACTGACTTGGCCACCCAGGCGCCCCAAAACAGTTTTTACTTTTCCAAGTATTTTGCATTTATTATAATTTATAGAATTTGATGAAAACCTGTTTAAATTTTCTAAATTTTGAATTTTAATCCAAAAAATTTTTAATCTTTTAGATTATTGAGAATGAGTACAAATTACAGTTGTGATAGAAATTAAAAATATAAAACTCCACAAAAGCGCAGTTCAGAGAAGAGAAAAGGCTATAAAGGAAAAATTTAGTAAATCTTCAAAGAAGCCACCTGCTTAAATTTTTAAAAACTGTTAAAAAGTAAAGTGAGCAGGCTTCCATTGGGTATGACCCACATGAAATTTGCAAATAGGATATTACAACTTCTTTTTAAGTCAGGTTTTTGAGGTATAGTTTACATGTAGGAACAATCACCCTTTTTAGGTATTCAGTTTTATGTGTTTTGACAAAATATATATACTATTATGTAACCGCGACCCCAATCAAGATACAATGTTTTCCATCAACCCATGCCCCATGCCCCTTTCTAGTCACTCCCCTCACCCAACTCTCCCAGTTCCCAGCTCCTGGCAACCTTTGATTTGATTGATGTCTGTCCCTGTAATTTTGTCTTTTTCAGAAAGTCATGTAAATGGAATTCATACAGTATATAATCTTTTGTGTCTGGCTTCTTAGCATAATCCTTTTGAGAGCCATTCATGTTGTTGCAAGTATTGATAGATCATTTTCTTTTATTGCTAGGTATTTTTCCATTATATGGAGGAACTACAATTTGTTTAGCCATTCACCACTTGATGGACATCTGGGTTCTTTCCAGTTTGGGGAGATTATGAATAAAGCAGCTATAAGCCTTCT